GCAATTTTGACATCCTGCTGTCATGGTCTTGCTCAGTGTCTGTAGCAAAATTTCCCCTGCTGCTTCTGCTTCAGCCTCTCCTGACAACTTCCTCTCTCTATCAACTCTCAAAGATGGTTCTTTGGGCCCTGAACGATCTGCTGTAGAGTAGGAGTCGGAAAACCCAGGCTCTAGTCCAGGTTCTGTCACTTACCAGCAAATCTCTTCTCCTCTCTGGGCCTTAATTTCCTCGTCCATAAAAATAATACAGTGGTCCCCCCTTTATCTGTGGTTTCCCTTTCCACGGTTTCAGTTACCTGTAGTCAACCACAGTCTGAAAATATTAAATGGAAAATTCCAGAAATAAACAAGTCATAAGTGTTAAATTGCGCACCATTCTAAGTAATGTGATGAAATCTTGCACCAGCCCACTCCATCCTGCCTGGGATGTGAATCATCCCTTTGTCCAGCATATCCATGCTGTATACGCTACCTGCCCTTAGTCACTTAGCAACATCTCGATTATCAGATCCACTGTCACGGTACTGCAGTGCTTGTGTTCAGGGAACACTTATTTTACTTAATAATGGCTCCAAGTGCAGGACTGGTGATACTGGCCATTCAGATATGCCAAAGAGAAGTTATTGCTGTTAATCTCTTACTGTGCCTAATTAATAAATTTACTTTATCATAAGTCTGTATGTATAGGAAAAAACATAGTATATATCGGGTTCTGTACTATCCACAGTTTCATGTATCTACTGGGGGTCTTAGAACGTATCCCCTGGGGATAAGGTGGGGACTACTGTACAATAACAAGTTTGCTTGATAGGATTGGTATGGGAATTAAATGATATAAGGTGAGTGCAGTTCTTTAAACTATAGAGTCTAATCCAGATGTTCTCTAATTATAATTATTGATTTCTTTGTAGAATCCTGGGACATTATCATAGCTCTTCATTTTACAGGCTGGGAAGCCGAGGCTCAGAGAGAAGGACTTTATTCATTACGATGGTTAATTTTATGTGTCAAGTTGGCTAGGCTGTTGTGCCCAGTTGTGTGGTCAAACACCAGTCTAGGTGTCACTGTGAAAGTATTTTATAGGCATGATTAACATTTAAACCAGTAGGTTTTGAATAAAACAGATTATTCTCCATAAGGTGGATAAGCCTCACCAATCAGTTGTAGGCCTGAGAGAAAAGACTGAAGTCCCTAGAATAAATCTCTCTTTCTCTCGGTATGTATACACACACACACACACACACACACACACACACACACACACACACACAGACACTATTGGTTCTGTTTCTTTGGAGAACTCTGACTAAAACATTCCTCCTTTCACTCATGTGGCAAACAATTATTAGGCACCTCCTGTGGGCTCGGTTAGAGCAGATAAGACAGGCTCCCTGCCCTCAACTAGGGAACAGACGGTGACTTCCCAAGTACAGTTCAGTGTGAACAGTTCTGTGATTCGGGTATGCTTTGGGAGCTCTGGGACCCCGGTGCAGAAATGCTAAAATGGGTAACCAAGAGCTGTGGAGGCAGGAGATGCTTCCTAAAAGATAATGATGCTTGAGTGAGTTTTGAAGGATGAGTAAGAGTTAGCAAATCAAAGAGAGGGGCCAGGCATTTCAGGCTCTGGGGAGTGTGGAAGAGAGTGGCAGCACCTCCCCATGTGAGGCTCTCAGGGGTTCTGGGTGGCTGGAGCCGATGGGAGTTGGAGAGAGGGGAGCGATGAAGCTAGAGCAGTCAGCAGGGACCACTTTAGGAGAAGGCCTTTATTCTGAAAATCAGGGGGAGCCATGCGAGGATTAAAGCAGGGGTGACAGAGATCTGTGTCTTAGAAAGACACCTCAGGCTACTAGGTGGAAGCTAACTGGGAGGGGAAGGCCGATGAGGAGCCAAGGGAGGCCTGAGGTAAGGCTTAGGGAGGCCACAGAGAGGGCAGTGAGATATCATCATTCACTCAACATGTGTTTGTCGAGCATCTGTTACGAGCCGGGAACTCTGCTTAGTGATGAGTATCCATATGAACACATGCTGCTATGGAGCTTGGTGGTAGAACTGAAAGGATTCGGGGTTGACCTTTGGGAGGGGAGTGTCAAAGATAACTGTAAGGTTTCTAGCCTGAAATAAGTAACCACTGAGATGGGAGCACTGAAGAAGGAACAAGTTCAGTGGTCAGATGAGTTCGGGTTGGGGTTTGTAGAGTCTGAGGTGCCTGTGGGACAACCAGGTGGAACTATCCAGGAGACTGCTGATCTGTTAGTCTGAGAGGCAAGAGAGCTATAGGCCTGGGGAAAAGATTGGGAAGAAGCTGGGGGTGGCAATGAAATCGTGCAGGAAGAACAGGCTTCAGGTTAAGAACCTGGAATTGTATGCAAAACGTTGCGTTTGGGTAAATGTGGGTTTTTCCCCCACTCCGTCTGCTGTGGAGTGGATCAGCAGCCATCATCACATTCTCAAAGGGGAGAAAATACACCCCCCCAAATTATGAACCACTGAGATAAAATGGAGTGAGCAGATAGCTAAAGATGGAGCCCTAGGGAACAGAAACATTTAAAGGGAAGCAGAGAAGAGGAAACTGAGAAGAAATGGTCAAAGAAGTAAGAAAGCAGAACAGTGCACCGCTGTGGAAACCAAGAGAGGAGTATTCTGAGATGGTGGAGGTGCTCAGCTATACCCCTTGGTGCAAAGAGGGTAGAGAAGACAGACAGATACAGGCAATTTGATTTGGAGTTGAGAAGCTAGCCAGAAGAGAACCTGACCTAGAGCAGGCTGCTTGAACGTCAGAAAGACCGAGACATGACCCATGCTTATGTGCTACAAAGAACAAACCAGTAGAGAAGGAGCGCCGTCTCTGGCCACCAGGGCTCCAGGCTGCATCAGTCCTTACCCTTCAGGAAAGCAGGGCCATACCAGCTCAACAGTGGTTCACTCAGAGCAAGAGGAAGCCAAGTGACAGGTGAGTGGAGGCAGCCCTGTGCAGCTCTGTGTGTAGGCTTGTTTAGGAGACTGAGCCTTGACCCCAGGAGGAACAGCCGATGACCTGGGGGTTGTGCAGCTTGGGAGGCCTCAGGGGGAGATGGTTAACTCTTTTCACAGGAAGGGCTTTCCTGTGGCAGAGGGAACAGATATGTTTTCTGGATCCAGAACCAATTCAAGAGAGAGAGATTCGATTCAGTAGCAGAAGGAAACTTCTAAACTCACAGCTACTAAGAGAGGTAGCAAGCTCCTCGTCTTCAGAAGTGTGCAAACAGAAGCTGGGTGATTATTTGGCAAAGCTGATACATAGACCATCCAAACATCAGGGTTGGGGGGCCGTGGATTAGATGACCTTTAAAGTCCCTTCCAGGCTTGGGAATCTCTAACATTTATCAGGTTTCTCTGGTCATCTGAAGGGATTTTGTGAAATGGTCAAAAAACTATTTTGATTTATTTTATTTAAAAAAATCATGCTGGGGCTGGCCCAGTGGTGTAGTGGTTAAGTTCACGGGCTCTGCTTTGGTGGCCCAGGGTTCACTAGTTCGGATCCCAGGCGCGGGCCTACACACTGGTCATCAAGCCCTACTGTGGCGGCATCCCATATACAAAATAGAGGAAGATGGGCACAGATGTCATCTCAGGGCTAATCTTCCTCAGCAAAGAAAAGAGAAAGATTGGCAACAGATGTTAGCTCAGGGCCAATCTTCCTCATCAAAAAAAAAAAGAAAGAAAAAATCATGCCACATAATGCTCATGAGGTTGTGGCTAGAAAGGGATAGTACAGCTTCACAAGATAGCGCATATAGCAAGTGTTGTAGCTCTTGGGAAGAAAATCACTGGCTTAAGGTTTGGATCAGTGGTTCCCAGAAGTTTCCAAGGGTCACTTGGGGAGCTTGCAAAAAGAAGTCCACCCCTCCATTCTGAATCTGGAGAGTTGGTTGGCCCCAGGAACCTGCATTTTAATCAAGTATCATCCCTCCCCCCACTCCCCACCCAAGAATCTGATGTGGCAGATCCCAGGACTCCTCTGAGAAACTGAGTGAAGATGATGGAATGAGGATAACAAGGATCTTCCACCTCCGCAAATCTCAGTGTGCTTTGCAGCATGGAAACGAGGCTCGGCAGCACGAGGCTTGCTGGGCAAGTCAGGGTGTAATCTCAGATTGACGCTCAGGTCCAATTTTTCCCACGGCATTGAGCAGGCTAAATGGAGAATTTTGCAGGCCTTAATCTCATTCACTCCCACCACTCCCATCTGGGGAGAATAGGAGGCTTGAGTCACTGCCTCAGTCTCCCAGCTTATAAAACAAAATAATGATGGCTGGACTCTGACTTCTTGATGAATGAGGTGGAACAAATCTGCAGGTATAGACCCCCAGACCTGGGTGGGGCTGGAAAGCTCTGGGAAAGTGTCTCCCTCCTCCTTGCTCAAAGGATTTGGAAAGTAGCCAAGGTGGAATAACAGGACCAGCTTTGCCTTCCTGCCTGGAACAACCGAAAACCCAGGCGGACTATAAGCAACAGTTTTAAAACACTGGACATCAGGCAATGAAGGACAGTGATCCCTGAGAGACAGGAAACAAATAAGGTGAGCCCTACGATCGCTCCAGCTTACTGCCTGGAGAGAGATTCCAGGCTGCAGCACAGGGCAGGGGCATCCAGGCAGAGCCTAAGAGAATCCATGCATTGAGGAGATGGAGCTTAGAGATCAGGGAAAACAAGGCAGCTAGAGTTCACAGGACAGGGCCGGCCTCATGGCTTAGCAGTTAAGAGCGCGCGCTCCGCTGCTGGCGGCCTGGGTTCGGATCCCAGGCGTGCACTGACGCACCGCTTCTCCAGCCATGCTGAGACTGCGTCCCACATACAGCAACTAGAAGGACGTGCAACTATGACATACAACTATCTACTGGGGCTTTGGGGGAAAAATAAATAAATAAAATTATAGAGTTCACAGGACAGAGTAGTAGAGAGGAGAAAGCTGCAGACACAGAGTACGCCAAGATATGCAGAGAGTGCTGCTTGAGTATCCAGCAGAGTATTGATCAGCACATGCCTGAGGAAACTACCCCAGGCCAGAGAAAGAACCACTCAAAAGGATTAGAGGAAATTAGTACTTCATGGCCACAGAGGGCCGGGAATAGTGGAAACCTCATTCATTATCCATGGGGTATTAAGTATGTCATTCAGAAAAGTCTTAGCTCAGTAGTAGGGAATAGTCAGCCCTAGATGATAATTAGCATAGATTAAAGGCTCTGGTCCTGTGCAATAAATCTTAAAACCAAGACCTTAGGGCCAGCCTGGTGGCATAGTCGTTAGGTTTGTGCACTCTGCTTCAGTGGTGCGGGGTTCGCGGGTTTTGGTCCTGGGCATGGACCTACACACCACTCATCAAACCATGCTGTTGCGGAGTCCCACATACAAAGTAGAGGAAGATTGGCACAGATGTTAGCTCGGGGACAATCTTCCTTAACAAAAGAAAAAAATAAATTACTGAAAACCAAGACCTTAAACTATCAAACTGTTAAAAGTAACCTAACCACATCCCAGAACAAAGCTCAAGAATATTTACAGGAAATCAAAAATATCCAGCACCCAGCAAATTAAAATTCACAATGTCTAGCATCCAATAAAAAATTACCAGAGGTAGTCTAGAAATAAACCCTCAATTTATAATCAATTGATTTTTGACAAGGGTCCCAAAATAATTCAATGGGGAAAGAATAGTCTTTTCTATGAATGGTGCCAGGCAACTGGATATCTACAAGCAAAAGAATAAAGTTAGACCCTTTCCTCATACCGTGTACAAAATTTAACTAAAAATGGATTACAGACCTAAATGTAAGGGCTAAAACTATAAAACTCTTAGAAGAAAATACTGGCATACATCTTCCTGACCTTGATTTAGGCAAAGCCTTCTTAGATATGACCCCAAAAGCGCAATCAACCAAAAAAAAAGATGTTAGACTTCATCAAAACTAAAATCTTTTATGCTTCAATGGATACTATCAAGAAAATGGAAAGACAACCTACACAATGGGAGAAAATATTTGCAAATTATATATTTGATAAGGGTCTAGTATCCAGAACATATAAAGAACTCTTACAACTCAACAATAAAAAGATAAATTACTCTAAAAAAGGGCAAAAGATCTGATAGACATTTCTCCAAACAAGATATACAAATGGCCAATAAGCACATGAAAACATACTCAACATCGTTAGCTATTAGGGAAATGCAAATCACAACCACAATAAGATGCCATGTCACACTCACTAGGATGGCTATAATAAAAAAGAGACAGTAACAAGTGTTGTTGAGGATGTGGAAAAATTGGAACCCTTATACATACACTACTGGTGGGAATGTAAAATGGTACAGCCACTGGGAAAAACAGTCTGGCAGTTTCTCAGAAGGTTAAACATATGACCCAGCAGTCCCACTGCTAGAGAAATTAAAATATTCATCCACACAAAAACATGTCCATGAATGTTCACAGCAGCATTATTCCTAATAGCCAAAAGGTAGAAACAACCCAAATGTCCATCAACTGACGAACTAATAAACAAAATGTGGTATTCCATACAATGGAATATTATTCAGCAATAAAAAGGAATGAAGTACTGATACATGCTACAACATGGATAAACCTTCAAAACATGTTAAGTGAAGGAAACCAGTCACAAAAGACCACATATTGGATAAGTCCATTTATATGAAATGTTCCCAGAATAGGCAAATCTATAGACAAAGTAGATTACTGGTTGCCTAGGGATGGAGGTTTGGGGAGAAATGGGGACTGATTGCTAATGGTTATGGGGTATCTCTTTGGGGTGATAAAAATGTTTTTAAAGTGATTATGATGATAGTTGCAAAACTCTAAGAATATACTGAAAACCATTGAATTGTACATTTTAAATGGATGAATTGTATGGTATGTAAATTATACCTCATAAAGCTGTTACATGAAAATAAAATCATCAAGCATGAAAAGAAGCAAGAAAATATAATCCGTAGTGAAGAGAGAAATCAATCTATCTAAATCTACCCAGAACTACCACAGATATTAGAATCATCAGAGAGGGACATTAAAAGCTAAAATTGTGTTCCATGTGTTGAAAGAGTTAAGTAGAGACATGGAGGACATAAAAAAGACCCAATCAACCTCCTAGGGGTGAAAACAACATTGTCTAAGATGAAAAATGAATTGGTGGACTTAAGGGCAGATTAAATATTGCGGAAGAAAAGATTAGTGAATTTGAAAGCATAGCAATAGAAACCATCAAAACAAAATGCAGAGAGGAAAAAACAATTTTTTTTTTTAATGAACAGAGCAGCTTCAAGCAGCCTAATTTGTGTGCAATTGGAGATCCAGAAGGAGAAGAGAGAGGAAAGGGGGCAGAAAAAATATTTAAAGAACTAATGGTAAAATATTTTGCAGATTTGATAAAAAGAGATCCAAGAAGCTCAATAAACCATAAGCACAAGAAACATGAAGAAAACCACGCCAAGAGCCACATTATAATAAATTGTTCAAAAGCAGTGACAAAGAAAATCTTTAAAGCAGTCAGAGAAAAAAGGCACCTCACATACAGAGGAAAAAAATAAAGATGACAGTAGATTTCTCATTGGAAACAATGCAAACAGTGGCACAACCTCTTTAAAGTACTGAAACGATTTATCACTTTCAGTGATCTGCAGTATCACTACAGATCTACAGTACAAGAAATGTTGAAGGAAGTCCTTCAGGCAGAAGGAAAATAATACCAGGTGGAAATATGGATCTACATCTAAAAAGATAAAGAGCATTGGAAATAACTACATGGGGAAATAGATAACATCTCTTTCTTATTATTTAAATCTCTTTAAAGGTAATTGGCTGTTAAAATAAGAATAACAGCAATGTATTATAAAACGTACAACAACAATTGCACACAGAAGTCAGGTGGGGAGAAATGGAAGTTTACTATTACTAGGTTCTTATACTGTATATGAAATGGTATAATATCACTTGAAGGTAGACTGTGCTAATTAAAGATGTATACTATAAACCCTAAAGCAACCACTAAAATATCAAAACAAAGAGTTTTAGTTTATAAGCCAACAAAGGAGAGAAAATGGAATCATAGAAATATTTGATTAACCCAAAAGAAATCAGAAAAAAAGGAAAAGGGAACAAAGAACAAACGGGGCAAATAGAAAACAAATAGCAAGATTACTTAAACCATATCAACAATCACATTAAATGTAATGTAAATGGTCTAAATATCCCAATTAAAAGGCAGAGGAGATTGTGAGATTAGATTAAAAGCAAGACTCAACTATATGCTGATTAAAAGAAACACATTTTAAATATAGAAACAAATAGGATAAAAGGATGGAAAAATGTACCATGCTGACATTAACGGAAAAAAAAAAAAACTGACGTGGCTAAATTAATATCAGACAGATTTCAGAGCAAAGAATACTACCAGAGATAAAGAGGATGAATTCCTAATGATAAATGGGTCAGTTCATCAAGAGGATATAACAATCCTAAATGTGTATGTACCTAATAACAGAGCTTCAAAATGCATGAATCAAAAACTGATAAACCTGCAAGGAAAAAATAGACAAATCCATGATTCTAGCCAGAGATTTCAATACCCTCCTCTCAATAATTGATAGAACCAGCAGAAAATGAGCAGGATATAGTAGACTTGAAGAACACTGTCACCCAGCTAGACCTGATTCGCAGAGTCCCACAGCAGCAGAATGCACATTCTTCCCAAGTGCACACAGAAAATGGTATATTTCCAGGAAGACCATCAAAGAAAGAAAGAGAGAAGATGTCAGTGAAATTGACAACCCTCTAGCTAAACCGATCAGGAAAGAGTGGAGACACAAATTACTAATATCAGGAATGAGAGAGAGAGCATTACTAGAGATTCTACAGATGTTAAAATGGTAATAGGGAATAGTACACACAACTTTATGCCAATAAATTCTACAACTTTGAAGAAATGGATAAGTTCCTTTAAAGACAGTACCAGAGTTTACCCAAAAAGAAGTAGATAATCTGAATATTCATGCATCTATTAAAGAAGTTGAATTTGTAGTTTAAAACCTTCTCGCCAAGAAATTCCAAGAACCAATGGCTCCACGAGTGAATTTTATCAAACATTTAAAGAAGTGACACCAATTCTTTACAAATTGTTCCAGAAAACTGAAAAGGAAGGAACACTTCCCAGCCCATTCTATGAGGCCCGCATTACTCTGATACCAAAACTTAACAAAGACATTACCTTGTCAAGAAAAGAAAAATGCAGGCCAATATCCCTCATGAACACAGATGAAAAAATTCTCAACAAAATTTTAGCAAATCAAATCCATGAGTATATCAATATATTTTTTTTAACAAAAAGGTTAAAACATTATGACCAAGTGAGATTTATCTCAGGAAAGCAAGACTAGTTTAACATTTGAAAAGCAATTCATGTAATTCCTTGCAACATCTACAAAAACTAACTCAAATGGTTCATAGACCTAATTATAAAACCTAAAACCTAGAAGAACATATAGGATAAAATCTTGTGACCTTAAGTTAGGTAATGATTTCTTAAATACAATACAAAAAGCATGATCCATAGAAGAATAAATCTGATAATGAAATCTGATAAAGAAATCTGATTTTGGATTTCATCAAAATCAAAAAATGCTCTTCAAAAGCCATTGTTAAAAGACAAACCACAGGCTGGGAGAAATGTTTGCAAATCATACATCTGATAAAGGATGTATCCAGAGTATATAAAAACTCTCAAAACCCAATAACGAAAAAACCAGCAATCTAATAAAATAAAATGAGTAAAAGATTTGAACAAACCCTTTACCAAGGAAGATATGTGGATGGCAAATGAGCACATGAGAAGATGCTCAACATCGTTAGTCGTCACGGAGATGCAAAATAAAATCACAATGTGATGCTACCACACACCTATTAGATTAGCTAACATTAAAAAGGCTGACCATACCAAGTGTTGGCAAGGATACAGAGCAACTGAACTCTCACGCTCCAATGGTGGGAATGTAAAATGGTACAGCCACTTTGGAAAACAGGTGATTTCATTTAAACATGCACCTACCACATCCAGTCATTCCACTCCTAGGTATTTCCCCAAGATAAATGAAAGCATATGTCCGTGCAAAGGCCTGTACATAAACAATCATAGCAGCTTTACTGGTAATAGCCCAAACTGGGAATAACCCCAAATCCATTAACAAATAAATGGATAATTGAAGAGTGCATCTCCAGCCTGGAATGCACAAATTATGGTATATCCATACAACAGAATACTCCTCAACAGTAAAAAAGAATGAATATTGGGCGTGCTACAACATGGATAACACTCATAATAGTTATTCACAGTGAACAAAGCCAGCCAGACAAAGAGTGTACGCTATATGATTCCACTTATGTAACATTCTAGGAAAGTGCAAACTAATCTATATTGACAGAAAATAAATCTGTAGTTGCCTGAGTATGGGAGTGAGGGTTGGGGAGGGGTGGGAGTGAAGAATCACAGGGGGCGCAAAAACACTTCAGGGTGATGGATACGTTCACTATCTAAATTGAGATAGTTTCATGGGTATATACGTATGTCAAAACTTAGGAAAGCGTACATTTTAAAAATGCGAAGCTTATTGTATGTCAATTATACTTCAATAAAGCTGTTTAAATGAACTCATTGAACTATATGCTTGAGATCTGTACACCACATTGTATAGAAATTATGCCTCAAGAAATATATATATATATACATATATATATATATATATATGTATATATATATATATATATTTAAAGGACTCAGATAAATCGCTTCTACCTTGGCCTGGAGTTGCTGGGTGGCCCTCAGAATCCCAGTGACAGCCACCAGGCAGGGCCCTTGGGGCTGGTCCCTTCCTTCTCTGGGAAGAAGTGTGCTCTTGTCAATGGCCTGGGCTGGTCATGGCTCTGAGCTCGTCGCCCGCTCTGACATCTGTGGTTCCATACGTCTAAGGATGAATGGAGAGTCCCAGCAAACAGTGATGGCAGAGGGTTAAACCAGACCAGATTTCCAGTCCAAACCCTGGGGCGAAGCCTGGGCCACTTTAAATTCCGTTCATCTATCCCTGCCCGTTTGCACAGCAAATAACCTGTGGTACTTAGAGTACTGATCTTGGAGCCGGGGCCAGGGAGGCCGGGAGATGGCAAATATTGACGCTGGCCGCCTGGGTTCTCGCTGCAGCCTGTGGCGTGAAATCACCTGCTCTGCTGATGTAAACCAGGGGAGGGGCCCGGCTGGCCACCCGGGCTCTGTGTCTTTCTGGACCGGCTTATGCAGTGCTGTCTGGGATGTTGCTATGGCATCCGCTTCTTTCTGAAAGGATAAACAAGAAAAGAACAAACACCGTTCTGCTGGTGCCGGTCATCTCCTGTTTACAGGCTGCAGCCTCTGGCCCAGGCTCCAGCTTTCTCTTCTAGGGAGTCCTGGCTGAGAAAGAGTGAGAAGTCAAGGAGGGAGTATGGAGGGCTCTGCGTTTGGGCCTCTCAAGATTTGATCCTGGATCCGACCTTCAAATACGGTGTGATCTCAGGCAAGCAACTTCCTCTCTCTCTGCCTCTGTAAAGTGCGCATAACCAACCAGATTCCTGGAATGGTTGTGAGGATTAGAGAAAATGAGACACGAGAGACAAGGCATACACAAATTTGTGACAGTGCTTGGCATGTACTGAATGCTCACTGAATATTGCCTGTTAATATTCACTAAGGTCCCTAGACAGCGCTGGGCACTCCCCTTTTTTCTGCTGGAATCTTCACCGTTTCCACGTGGTGTTCACATTCCGGATCTCACTCTTTCCTCTCGTGCTTGCAAAATAATCTGGCCGTGACGCCCTTATTCCTGATGTATAGAGGAGAGCCTTTCTTGCAGCCCCTGCTCAGAAGGAGGAAGCCAGTGTGTTCCTCCTGCTGAAATCTCTGCCAGCACCCCGCAGAGTCCAGAGTCAAGTTCATTCCCTGAGCCCAGAATCCGCAGCTCCTCCTCACGCTCCAGCCCCGGGGACTGACCACCCTCCCTCAGTCACCGGGCGCCTCCCTGCACTGAGCCCTTGAAGCTCTTCAGCCTGGATTGCCCTGTCCTGCTGCCCACATGCTCCTTCGTGGCCCTGCTCAGATATCACCGCCACTAGAAGCCTCCCAGACCTCCTGGGACATAGCGCAGAACAGCCAGCTGCCATGGCTAAGCGCCCCCCACAGCCATGTGCCCTCTCCTGCTGCGGGACCCGCCGAGCTGACTGGTATGAGCAAACACAACCTCATGTTCCCCAGCGACCTTGTTTCCAGCAAGCAATGCTCAGGGCGTCAGGAACATGCTGGCACTTGAGTGCTGGAAGGGCCTGTGGACCTTTCTTGCTCCTCAGGGATCAGTTCAACCCTCTCTTCCCCTGGAGACTGGTGTCCTGTTGGAGAAGGCATGGCCCGTGGCAGAAGGCCAGGCGCTCCTTCTCAGGCCTCCGGACTCTGCCGTCTTCCTCTTCTCCCCCGGACCCCTGCCCCCTTCTCCCCCGGACCCCCGCCCCCGTAGGGCCCTAAGGCCCATGTGTTCCACCAGTAAGTGGCCCCTGCCCGTCCCCTCTTCTCCGCCCACTTGGTCCAAGCCCTGGCATCCCTTTCTTGGACTGTGGTGGTTAAAGGTCATTGGAGCTCCAGATGTGTCCTTGCTTATCACAGCTTGATGACACCCACCATCCTTAGGATGGAGTGTGACACGGCATGCCCTCACCTCCTCCCGCCTCCTTCCCCCCGCCGGTGCTTTAGCCACTCCGGCCTGCTGGGCATTCCCTGGCTGAGCCGTCCCCTGTCACACCCCCACGGCTTTGTTCACATGGCTCCTCAGCCGGGCATGCCCCTCTTCCCAACCTCGACCCCTGGAAACTCTCCTGCCCTCCAGGATTGCGCCCAGATGCCCCTCGTCTGGGAAGGAGGGCTCCTCTGGGCCAGTCGTGAGAATTGCAATGCCCAGAGTGCACCCGCAGAGCCTCCCTCGTGCTGCAGTTGGAGAGAGGCTCGGCCAAAGATGCTGGAGCCCAGGGCGGATCGTCCCTCCGGCAGGATCCCTGAAGCGTCCTGTCCCAGGAGCTGGTCCTCAGGTCACAGGGTCAGAGATGTGATTGTGTCCTGGCTCCAAAGGCCCCCCTTTGTAGTCCTCCGCCCAGGATTTCCTGCCGTCCCAGCCAGCCCACCACGGCGGGAGGTGCCTCCTCGGTGAGACCCCGCACTCCTGTGTGCTGGATCCAGGTCTCTTTGCTTCCCGGTGCCCAGGGCCCGGCTGGGCCCAGAGCAGGTGCCCAGAGACTGTTCAGTGAGGGAATGAATGGACGCAGCAGAGTGAACTGGGGCTCACTGGTCCTCAGACGCCCATTTTCAGTTCAAACCTCACACGAGACTGAGACATAAAACCAATTTTATTAGTTTCCAGGGGAAATATGTCTGTCTCCCTCAACAGGAACCCTCTTGTTCGCCAGATTCCAAGGCTTTCTTCAGAATAAGGGTGGGCCACTTGCTGACCCTCATGCCACCTTTTTAAATGCCCCACAGAGACTCTGCCCCCCGCCAAGGTGTAATCGTGTAGGCGGCAGGAAAGTCTTCGGGGTTGGGACCCCATCGCTGTGTTTGAGTTCCAGCTCCAGCACTGACTTTGCTGTATGATCCTGGGCAAGTCATTTCTCCATGGGCCTCAGTTTCCTCACCTGTTTAATGGGGAGTTCTGTCCTTGCCTGTCAGGGTTTTGTGAAACTGGGAAGGTATGCAGAGAGACAGATCATGCACTTGGCTCCAGGACCAAATACGATCCCTGCTCCGAGAAACCTGGGCTGTTTGGCTGGGCAGCTGGTCACAGGGCAGAGGGGGGAGTGGGAGAGTGGAGAATGGGACGGACAGAAGGGCTGCTCTCTCTCCAGACCTTCTGTTCCACAGCTCAGAGCCTCCTGGGATGGCTTCCCCCTGGCAGGACGACAAATCCCCCATCTCAGGTGCAATCTCATGTGATCACTCGGTGGGGCTGCTAGGATGACCCAGTTGAAAAAAATGCTAGGCTGTGTCCAGTATCTGCCTTAGGGACCAGAGGGGCAAGAAGTGGCATACACGTCACATATGTGCCAGCCATAAGGACTAACGTCCTCAGCTTGGCATTTAAGCCTCAGACTTATCTTTTCTCCAAGGAGTGACAAATTCAGGGTCTGCAAGCCTGTCTTAGGGCAGAGGGGCAGAGGAGCAGATGAGCAGATTTCCTCAATGTGGCCCCAGAAGCAGGCCTAAAATCGTGGAAGCAGACTCCTCTCATCTTTGTTAGGAGCACCTAACATGGTGGTGAGCTCCCTGTCACTGGAAGCATTCAAACAAAGGCTAAACAACTTGAAAGCAGGAGAGGCAATTCCTATTCAGAGACGACAGTGCATAGATTCCACTAGATGATCTTGAAGGCTCCTTCCTGCCTCGTGTTCTTGGATGCGATGCTCGTGTGAAGGGTTATCAGTGCCATTCCAGCCAGCCTCCCACTCTGGCCTGGGGCACCCACTCAGGGTCCAGGACAGGAGTACTCGTCGGACCAGACTGAGCAGTGTTGCACATGGTCCCGGCAGAGGCTCCTCGGGACGCAGCCGCAGTACTTGAAGACAGTTGAGGGGCAGTGCCACCACCCAGGGCCACAGGGCGGGCACACGGTCACTGGGGAGACAAGAGCCAGCAGGAGAGCAGCTGCCGTGCCCTGGAATGCCCATGCACCAGGGCACTCCCTCGATCTGAAACCTGCCATAGCTCACCATAACCCCATCCCATCTGACATGGGTTGGCTGTATTCCTTATTTCCCTGCGGGAGAGAGAATCTAGATCCCACAACTCATAGGCTGTGTGACCTCAAGCAAGTCTCTCACCCTGTCTGAGCCTCAGTTTCCTCATCTGCCCAAGGTTGTTATTAAGGAAGATAGGCCAAGTGCCAGACACGTGGTCCATGTTCAAATATTAATGGGAGCAATTGTCTCCCTAGCCTGTCGTCCCTCCCCCAGCCTGACTCAGCCACACCAGCCCACTTAGGACTGCCTGAGGGTGCCTCACAGACTTCCCTCCTCCGTCCTGTACCCTGGGCCTCCAGCATTCTTCCCTGCACACCCCGCCTCTGCCTGTTGAGACTCTGTCCTTCCTCTCAGGCCTGGTAGAATACTGCCTCTTCAGAGAAGTCTCCCTTGATTCTTACTCCCTCCCCACCTCCAAAAATGAAAAACACAAAACCTCTCCAGGTCCCCAGCACTTCCTTTTGGCATCAGCGTGATGTGAGTCCTGGGGGTAGGACACATGTTTGGCTCCTGACTGTCCCCCAGCAGAACCTGGCACTTGGCCCAGCCCCCAACATGTTTGTTGATTGAACACTGGCGAAGAGGTTGAAAGGAAGCTCTGGGGCAGTGAAAGAACTCCAGACTTGGAGTCAGGAGACCTGGGTTTACACCCAAGCTCCCTTCCTATCACTCATGGTATTAAGTCCCTTCTCCTCTCTGGCCTCAGTTTACCCACATATAAATTGGGGTCAGTGATGCCTGTCCTGCTTTCCTCACCGGCCTGTTGGGAGGTTGATTGGTGAGGGAAACCCAGGTTCAAATCCCAGCTGGGTCATGCACTTGCTCCTTGCGTGACCACCTCTGGGCCCCAGACTCCCTATCTGTGCCCTGGATGGTGAGTTCCCCACCACAGAAGAATACCTAGAGCCACCTAGAGTGACAGTGAGCACGCCACCATTGGAGGCATTCAAGCAGGGGTGGAAAACTTCTTCTTAGGATGCAAGAAGGGGATGCATGGGGAACCTCGCAGATTCCCTGGCCAACCTCTGCCCTCTGGCCACTGCCTGGCCACCTGCCCCAGCCCAGCCTCTGCCCAGACTCCCACCTGGGCTCAGTTCATCTGAGCAGTCCCCGCAGTTGTTGGTCCCATCACACTTCTGGTCTGAGTAGATCCAGGAGCCCGGTTCCACAGCGGGCCACGAGGAAGCTGGGGAGACTCTGGGGCACATCTCCTACAGAGCGACAAGGAGGCAGGAAGAAGTCCACATCTGGCCACAGCTGTCTCAGGGCTATCTGGAGGTGGATTGTCCTGGCCACCTTGGTAGTTGTCAAACTCGGGGACACTGCCCATCCACCCCAGCAAGGGCACAGGGAGAAGGTCTCCTGGGGAGGATGTCGAGTCGGGGAGAGGAGTGGTCTTTCCCTGTACACCCAGCAAGACACCCAGAGAGCCGCCCCTCGTCTCCTCATTCCCCCCTCAGCTCTCGTGCATTCCCCATCCACACCACTGCTTGCACGTTCCTCCCTCCAGAAATGTCCTCCTGGACACCTATCCAAGTCCACCTTCAAGTCCAGGTTCAAGTCCCTTCACCTCTAGGAAGCCTCCTCCAACTAGAACACAACAAGAATAAACGTGAAGTCTCGCACTTGGGTCCCAGAACTCAGGGGATGTGGGTTCAGATACCTTGTGAGATGGAGTCTGAGCATCCTTCTTGAAAGTGGGTTCTGTGTTAGGCAGCAGTGTGACAGGGCTACCAAAAATTAACACAAACTCAGGCCACATCACTAGAGGTATAACCCAGACTGGGGAGGGGAAAGCCTTTGTTCCTTAGACTGGCCAGAGCTAGTCAGAAGTGTCATGGATGCTTCCAGAGTCTGTCCAGGGAGAGGAACATGGGCAGTTATTATGTGTTTTGTGGAGTGTGGAAGACCAATCACAAGGGGGGTGACTGTGGAGTCGAGTGTGGCCTGAGGAAGGAGACACTCATGGGGGGCAAGAAAACAATCTCCAAATCCGCACAGTGTCATCGTCAAGGGAAAGAGATTCTAGTGTGGGTCATGGGCAGGGTCGATGAGAGGGCAGAGCTGGAACCAATCAAGGATGCTCCTGGAGGCAGCTCTAAACTCAGCACGAGGGAGGCATTGCCATGGAAACACCGGGGGAGACGGGAGCAGCTGCCTCAAGCTCACTGCAGTGAGCTCTCCATCCCAGGAGTATGCAAGCAGAGGCTGGGTGGCCGCTGCGGGTTTGTGACGGTGGGGATCTGGGCACGAGCTGGGACACGGAAGAGATGACTTTTAAGATCTCTTCTCTCTCTTTGAGGGTCCGTGATGCAATGACCCTCCACCCGTGGGCTCCCCCACCCCAGCCACTCCAACTCACCCCAGGCTGCCTCCCTCCTGCACGGAAGCTGCCTCTTCCATGCAGCCACGGCTCCTCTCTCCTGAGAACTGTCTGGTCTCTCAGGTCTGGGACCAGATCTTCCCATACATTCATTCATTCATTCACTCATTCCAGCATTCATTCAGCAAACATTCCAGATACCCCTCTGAGCCGTGCCCTGTGCCAGGCACTGGGTCCCTAAAGTCAAGCAGACTAGGCCTGCCCCAGAGGAGAGCACAGGCTGACAGGGGTGGCAAACATGCCAATCGAGAGTGACAACCAACGTGATGAGGGCTGGGACACAGGGAAGCACAGGGGCTGTGGGAGCCCAAAGGAGGGAGCCTAACTTAGTTTGGGAGTCAGGGAAGGCTTCCTGGTGGAGGTTACACTTGAACTCTGCCATGAAGATTGGATCAGGGTTCTCTGGGCACGTAGACGCACACAGTGAAGTGCGTGCGGCTGGGACAGAGTGGGGGCAGGTGTTCGCAGCTGAGGATGCCATATAAGCAAAGACTTGAAGACATGAAGGCACCTGGTTTGTTCAGGGATGCTCGAGGTTCAGTATGTCTGTAGGGGGAGTTGGAGCTGGGGGACAACCCCCAGGGTCCCAAGAGGGCCCATCTGGGGCAGGGGCAGGATGGAGCAGGTACTCACGGCACAGGGCCTCGCCCTCGTCCTCACCGTGGGCACAGGTGTGGACACCATCACAGACCCCGCTGGCCGGGATGCAGCTCCGCCAGTCATGGCACAGGAAGCCCGTCTTGTTCATCAGCGTCACACAGGCCTGGGCCCCTGAGCGGGCAGGGGAGACCCCTGAGGGTCAAGGGAGCTGCTCACAAGGGCATCACCAAGTTCCCACACCTGAGCCCCACCCCAAGCTGGCCTGAGAGGCTGCAACAGCAGGGAGGAGACTGGGCTCGGCGCCGGAGATGGGGTCCAAGCCCCAGCTCTACCGCTTGCCAGCTGTGTGACCTTGGGCAGATGACTTGACCTCTCTGAGCCTCAGGTTCCTTGTCTGCAAAATGGGGCCAGGCACACCCCATCGGACCATTGAGGAGATTACGTAGAAGCTTCTGTGTGAGCAAGCCTAGCACATGGAATGCGCAGAGTAAGTCATGGTTCCCTCCTTTCCTGAAAGCTCACTGACGGTCTCCGGGGAAGCTCCTGAGGGCAGGGCGCGAGTCAGCGAAGGGGTTCCTGTGGTGCAGCTCCCGGTGCCAGGTTAGGTTGTCAGAAGCAATATATCGGGGCTGGCTGGGGCCCGTCACGCCATGATCCCTTACGTCTGGGCACAACTTTACACACTGCGAGGCACTGTTACATTTTTATTCTATTATTTCCCAAACACCGCTGTGAAGTGTCATCCTCAGCCCCACTTTACAAATGAGAAAAGTACGACTCAGAGCCGTGTGCCCGGCTGTCGCACAGCTCAGAGCGCAGGCTGCGGCTCTGCCCCCTCCCGAGGCCGGGGCTGCCTCCCCGCCCTCCAGGAAGAGTGGGCAGCCACCGGAACACGTCTGTCCTTCTGAGAGTCTTCCCTTCCGTCCCGGGGTGGAACCCCCACCCCCAGGGCTGCCCTGAAGAATCAAAGGAGAGAAACTGGCAGACGAGCTGGGAGGTCACCCCGGCTCCGTAAGCTGTGCACAGGTGTGCATGCGTGTGCAGGTTAGAGATGGGAGTGGGTTTGTGCCTGTGCGTTTGTGCACAAGTGAACCGTGTCTCCACACCTGGAACTGCCTCAGCTAATGTGCCAGGGGCCGACTCGCAGAGACACTCACATTGTCTCTCACACACACACACACACACACACACTGACGCACTCGCACATACACAGGCGTGAACACGCATGCACACACTCTCACACACGTGTACATGCATACATAGACATACGCACACCCAGACACACGCAGACACACAGACACACATAAACAGACACTTACATGCATACACACAGGCACAGGAATGTGACTCCTCACGTGTTCACATCTACCTTCAGTGCCCCTGCTCCTGCCCAGGCACGTAGAAGACTGGATTTTACCCCCTACTCCGCCTTGTCCCCTTACACACACGCGCACACACACACACCCTGGCTACAAGCCATCTCTCAGAAAGGTAGGTCTGGTGACACCCACCCCAGGCTTAACCCCCTCCCAGGGCACTCTGGGTGGTGACCTCCTCCGCAGGGCAGCCTTTGAGGCCCTGCTGGCTGCTCCTGCCGCCTGTGCCCATTGGCCACACGCAGTCCCTCCTTCTCCCGTTTTCTCCCCCGGGGGCTCTGCACGTGCTGTCCGTGTGCCTGGGGTGCTTTTACTGCCCGCCCCCCAACTCACCAGCTCTGCTTTCCCTTCTTGCCTCTCACTTCTCAAGGTGCCCACCCTGACCCCTAGACCCGGTCAGAGCCCCTGTTCCAGACTCTCAGGACCCCATTAGCCTCGCCTGAATGTGCTCATTTGATTAACGTCCATGTCGCTCTCTGGACTGCTAGCTCCGTGAGGGCAGGGGCCGTGCTGGGGTTTGCAGGGGCCGCAGGGGTGTATCAGACGGATCCCTGTCCTCCACGGTGGAGGCGGACACACAGGTGGACAGCACCACGCAGGACAGCCAGGCCAGGGGAATAGGAAGTATAGGGGCTGTGGGGGCTGAGAAGAGTCTTTTGAGAAGAGGCTTCTAACCCAGCCTGGGTTAGCAGGGAAGGCTTCCTGGAGGAGGTGACATCAGAGCTGGGTCCTCTCAATAACTTATATTATAGATTTGCAAATGGAGGCTCAGAGACATGTATATGTCAGTGTGTATGCCCGCGTCTGTGCACATACCCTAAGGAATTGCCCAAAAGTCACTTCATGCAGAAACCAGACAGTCAGAGATCCCCCATCTCTCTCTGCCCCCCATCCCCTCCCAGCAAGTCTGACCCACCCTCTCTTGACCACCCTGACCTGGCGTGCGTGGTGGGCGTCCAAGGATGGAGACCAGGACAAGCAGGGCCGCAAGAGTTGCCAACAGGAGCAGCAGGAAGGCCGAGAGACAGGCCCCTCGGCATGAGCAGCAGCCTGCTGTGTGGGGCAGGAAACCAGTGATGGAGCAGGCAGTGCTGGGGCCCGGGGATCCCCCTCCTCTGCCATAGAAGGGGCCCCTCCCACCTGGGGGTCTGGGGCAGGAAGGGCTTCCCTGGAGGAGGGGCTCCTAAGCCCTCCGTGATGCTCTCAGTTCTGCCTGTGGGCCCACCCCACCAAGGCCCGTCCCTGGCCTGGGTCCAATAGCTGGCGAGTGGCAGTCAGGATGAGAGTCCCAGGTCTCCGCTCCCCCGCCCTCACTCTCCGGTCCCTCCACGAGGCTGTCTCCTTGGGAGGCAAGGAGAGATGGACACCTGCTCATCAAGCCCCTCCATGGGGCAGAAACTAAAGCAGGCCCTTCATAGCCATTATTTTTACTTTTCAAAACAACCTTTATTTTATAGACGAGGAAACTGAGGCTCAGAGAAGAAAAGGTCCAGGTCACCTCTTGTGGAGCTGGGATGTGAGTTCACACCTATTTGCCCCCCAAACCAGTGCCTTTTCCATGATGCCAACCGATGGTCCATTCTGGAGCCCGCCAGGATGCTGGTTGGAATCCCAGCTCCCCCGTCTCCCAGCCGGGCCACACTGAGAAGTCACTTTACTTCTCTGTGCCTGTGTCCTCATGTGGAAAATGGGGTATAATACCTGTAAAATTATATCTGCCGTAGAGGTGTCGAGAGGGTCAAGCTAGTGATCCTAGAACCTTAGAACGGTGCTTGGCACACAGTAGGTGCTAGAAGGGCTTTAGCGTCGTCAGTGTTTGCTGATACCTACAGTGTGCCAGCTGTGCCAGAAGCACTGCGGGAGTAACAGTGAGAGGAGACGTCCTGCCCCTTGACCTCTCTCTGCCCCTTTAGTTTTCGCTTGCTTGTGAAATACTGAAAGAAAGCTTCGCTAAGGACCCAGGAGGTGCCCTGCGCTCTAGAGGACACAACGGCAGTCCCGGCTCGGGCTCTTGCCCTCAGAGAGCTCGCAGTTGCACTTAGAAGACAAGGAGGACAGGTGGGAAGGGGAGTGTGGGCACAACTGCTGTCCTCTGGGCCACAGTTGTCTCAGAGGGAGGGGCACGAGCAAGGCTGATGCGTCTCTGTGTCCCTGGGGTCCAGCCCGGAGACAGGCACACAGTAGGTGCTTTGTGAATTTTCTGACCCAGAGATCCAGGACACAAGGGAAGACCCCCAGTTCGGGTCATTTCCATCCAATCCACTCGCATTTCTGGAGCTGCCTACTCTGAACTCGCCAGCCAGGTGGACCTGTGCCTGCACATGGCAGCTCAGAGAGCCAGGTGGTGAGTGTGGGTCAGAGAGCGTGAGCAAGGTACCAGGGCGCTCAGAGGAGGGAGGTTTCCACAGGCGGGTGAGGGGAGGGGCAAGGAGGGGGCATCCAGGTCGAGTGTGGGAGGAGAAAGGCCTGGTAGACGGCAGGTGGGGGACAGCAAGTGGCCTGGCATGGCTGGAGCCCGGAATGGGCGTGCACTGGGAGGGGAGACAATAGAAGGAGATGCAGCACAGATCTCAAATGGATAAAATCCCCGCAGCCTAGTCGGTGGCTCCCTTGTTGGCAGCAAACACAGGGTCGACTCAGGTAACCAGGGAGACAGCGTAAAGCTGGGCAAGGAGAGGCGTCTTGTCAGCCAAGCAGCCGCTCCTCAAATATTTGTGCAGCACTGGCTGTGGGTAAGGTGGGGTCACAGGGGAGACTCAAGGCAGAACTGGCAGAGCCTAGGCCCACGCCCAGGTGAAGATGCTGTACTTCAAAGCCAGGAAGCCCTTAGGTGCCAGTTCCCCCTGGACAGATGGGAAAGGAGGCCATTTGTTCCACGCCCACCATGAGCTGGGACTTGGAAGTAAACAAACCCCAGTGTGGAGCAACAGAGGCCCTGGGGCTTTGCAACCAGAGGGACCCCAATTTGAACTTGAAGCCCGCCTCTCCCACCCACCAGCTGTGTGGGAGCCCAGCTTGGCCGAGTTACCCCACCTCTTAGCCTCAGCTGCCTCCTCTGTGATCGCCCTGTAGCAGGACTCCCTCTCAGAGCTGCCCTGAGGACTAGAGGAGACCACACAGTGCAGGCACACACAGGGGCTGGATCCTTTAGTATCCACCTCCCGGGGTCTGTATCCTCCCAGAGCCGATGTGGGCCAAGACGGGGCACATCGTAGAGGCTCATAAACGTGTTCCTTCCCTCCTTTAGTCCAGAGAGGGAAGGCCAACGGGCCGGGCTGCACAGTGAGCCAGTGGCACGTGGTAGGTGCTAAGTAACCATGTGATCCCGCCTCCCTGACCCCTCAGAGGTAAAGAGAACTGCCCAGCTCACCCACCCACCCACGTCTGGAGTCGGGGATTTGCCTCCAGAGCTCCTTCCTGGATAGGTTACAGGTGGGCACTGTGTGGGGTGCAGCGCCTGGGAGGTAGGCAGCGCACAGTTGGTGCTCCACAAATGCTTGTGCATGGAGAGAATGAACAACTCTACAAGCAGGTGGCTGTCAGCATGGCCGGCGGCGACATCAACATGGGGCAGAGGTCGGAGGGACAGTGGGGGCCTTAGGGAGCCCTCTTTGTGTCTGTAGCGACGGCCCAGCCTCAAGGGGGCCCCGCCTGGCCCAGGCCCTCCAGTCCCTACCTTCCCCTCCAGGGGGGCTTTGGTTCCAGCGGCAGTGTTGCCATTGCCATCCCCCTGCCGGAGAGCACAGAGAGGGGTGGGCTTAGGTGGGGCGAGGACCAGCCTCAGGAAGTCAGACAGAGGAGTTTTTCTAAAGGGTCCCTGAGAGCCCGAGGTGGAACCCTGGCCCCTCACGCTCCAGCACGCTGACGCCCCAAACTCACCATGCCCTCTTCACATTCCACACCTTTGGCCACGCTGTGCCCTCTGCCTGCAATGTCTTTCCTCCACGGTCCACTTGCAAACATTCATCCTCCAAACCAGCTCAGGAGGCTCCTCCTTGTGCCCCCCATGATGTCGCTCGCTCCCCCCCACCCCCGGCCTCCCTCCTCCCTCCCAGCACAGCCACCGGAGCTGTGTAGCTGGTTCACCTGTTGGTCCCCCTACAACCTGGGAGGGAGCCCCCAGCAGGGGGAAGCTGAGTCACCTCAGCGTCTCCCCTTCTTACTGCGCACTCCTTTCCCAGGGTTGGCTCCCCAGGTCGGGAGCCATCTCTAGGCAGCTCTCACCTGAGGGGAGATCCTCTTCATGTCTCCATTCCCAGCTCCCAGGTTTGGTCAGGTGCAGAGAACTCAGCGCGGTTCCGGCCTGGTCACCAGGGGCAGCCTGGAGGAGCCAGGACCGGAGGCCTCCCCTGGCCACACCCTCCCGGCGGGCAGTCCCCTCCCAGAGGAAAGGGCAGAGGGCCTGCTCCTGCTAGCCTTTCCCCACTCGGAGTCTGACGGCAACACTCCACGGTTGGAATGCTCATCCCCAGGTTACAGACGAAGAGCCTGAGGTTCAGGGAGGGAGACACTGCCCTCAAGTCACACAGTATCGGGGAGGGTGAGGTTTGAACCCAGGCACTCTGCAGGACATGGTTTTTCCTCCACATCAGTGATGAGACTGGAGGATCGCAGGCCCCCGGGCTGCATGAAGATCCAGGGAGAAATACCCAGAATTAATGTTCCAGTGGCTAAAAGGCAGAGGTCATTTTCTCGTTGATATTCTTCTCTTCAATTAAGTAGGTAATCTAGGTGGAAAAAATATGCATTTTCCACGAAAATTATAAAGCAAATATAATTTTAAATTATTTTCTTCAAAAAAGTGTCCATGTGCATTTTAATTTTTCCAGAGATGGTGCCTGCGATGGGGGAAGGGTGGGGAAGGTAGCTTACCTGACCAACCCCCTCTACCATCCCCCTAGCCTCATCCCACTGCTGGGGAGTGGGAGGCCTTGGGAGCTTAAGGGACTGGTCAGAGGCCCTGGACCAAAGGAGGAGAGGTGTCCACCTCCGGGAATGAGGGCTCCGGGGAGAGTCCCTCTGCAGCCTGCCTCTGATGCCCACGGGTGTCTAACCTGCGACCGGCCTTTTCTTGGGCCCTGGGGTATAAACTGCTGAGTCCTCGGGGTGGGGCTGGGGTGGACAGAAGCAGGGAAGCCCTCAGGAGGCAGCAGCACGGGGAAGGGCTAAACCCTACGTCGGGAGAACAGGGTTCTCATGAGGGCCCTGCCACCGGCTCTGTGTGGGCAAGCGGCTCCCCTTCTCCGAACCTCTGTTCCCTCATCCATAAAATGATTAGACTAGATGAAGGGGGTGTCTTAGTTTGGGGACCCCCATAATCAGACCCCAAGACCAGATCTGAAGGTAAGTAGGTTTAATTGGGAGTGACCCCAGGAAATGGCGGCTGGGGAGTGAAGGAAGCGAGACAGGGAAGGGAAGGATCCAGTAGGAGGCGGGTTATCAAGCACGTTCTCACTGTGGGCAAATGGAACTTTCTCCTGCCAAGGAATTCGGGGAATCAGGGCAGAAGATGCGCCTCAGAGTTACCCCAGGAACTGGGGTATCTATTTGCCAGCTCTTGCCAGTCACTGGCTGAGAATTGCTGGAGGGTGTTAATTCCTGGCACCACTGGCCTGCCTTAGGCAAAGAGAAGCCAGTGTTGGCAGTTGCAGGCTAAGCTGATGTGCCCTGAAGTGGAAACAGCTGAGGGTTACAGGCAGGGCACCCACGGCATCTGCTAAAGATGCTAACTAGATTTTCATCTCACTGCCAACTGCAATCGATAGGTAGAGGGTGTCTGGAACATAGGGCTCTGATGTCAGGACTCAGGGTTTGTGATTGATTAGTGATGTCTGCCATGGGGGTCAGAGTGGAGAGCGGAATCATGTGATGACCATTCGCCATTCTTAGCCCAGGTCTGGCATTCCTTGACTCTGTGATTCTTTTTTTTTTTAACTTTTATTTATTTTTTTTGAGGAAGATTGGCTGCCAATCTTCCGTTTCTGGATGCCTTGGTTTCTTTACAGTTACAGAGATCTGCTCGAGGGCTGGGACGGCTTCTTAGTCCAGGGCCCAAGTCTGAGTTGGACAATGCCCAGTGGGCACCACAATTAGACTGACCCGGGGACCTGAGAGATCTGCTCCCCCTGCCTGGGGTGAGGCCAGTGCCCGCCTCAGTGTTATTGCTCCTCCCCTAGCTCTCCACTATGCTGCGAGCCCTGGCTGGCCGCCTCTTCTCTCTGAGACTGTGCTTCCTCAACTCTAAAATGGAGACGTGAAACCCCATCCTGCTCTCCTAGAGGGATGTTGTGAGGACCCGTTGAAGGTGAGAGGGAGAGTCCTATAAGTGACTTTGCAAACGTCCTGGGGAATCAAAAGACAAACTCCCTTGTGAAACATCTAAGTAGACACTTGTACAAGATAGTATTATAATATTGTTTAATGCAGATGATCCAAAGTTTATTGAGGTTTACATACTTAAGCATTATTATTAACAGACGTGGGGCTCCAATGATGACTGCGTGATGGTCTATCTGAGGTAACATTATCAAGAGTTTTTGTTGAAACCTCTCATTTCTAATCAGTCGCTGATTTCTTTCTACCCAAGCCTTCAATTATTGCTGTTCCAACGTTGCAAAACAATTCAAGCATAAAAAGCACACGAGGCAGTAAACTAAGCCCAAATAATTTAGAATTGAACAAACAAAAATATTTTACTCTCAAAATGACAAAGTATAATCAGACAACCTCTAAACCAGGGGTTCAGTGAACTTGGATGGGAAAAAAATTAAATCTTTATTTTCACTAACTTCTAACTGAAATACAGCATTTCCTTCAATTATGAACACAGGCAACCGTCGACAGTAGTATTAGCATTACCTGTGACTTCATCACCAACAGAAATCACATTTAGATATTATGACAGTTGTTGCATATTTTTCAAAGTAATAATTTGAAATCACTCTGAAATTACAGTAGTTTTAGAACCATCACTAGACCTTGTTATTTTGTGTTAATAAAGTACATATATAACTGTATTACAAAATTTTGAAAATATTTTAATAACTGTATTTTAATATAATTAGTTTCCTTTGCAATCCTTCATATTTAGTTTTATGCATTTGAGAACATTATTCTGAGAAGGGGTCCATAGGCTTCACCAAATCGCCGAAAAGGTCCATGGTGTGAAAAAGATTAAGAACACCTACTCTAAACATTAAGTCATTAAGATCACAGGAAGAGAATACTTAATAGTGAAATATATGAAGCTGACTTCAACAATTATGAATTTCAGAAAAGGTACATAAACTGTGCTTCAGAATTTAATTACTGCGAGAGTTGGAAAATCTACACTAATTGTACAACCTAGCTTCCCACAGAAGCCTGCATTTCCCACTATCTCAATCTTTTATCTCCATCACTGTACATACCTCCACCCCCAGACTCTAGTCCAGAACAAGTGGTCAAGGAAAGAAAGACAAATAAAGCAACTCATCCTGATGACACTCAAATGCAAATGTGACGTGTTTAGCAACTGGAGACCTGGTGAGAGGGGCTCAAGAGCCCTGCGTTAGGAGAGGCTGGGTTGGCAAACCTAGCATCTGAGGATGGTGTAGGTTGACTTAGCATTATACTTTAAAAATTTAGCCCAACGTGAAGTCTGGTAAGAAGCTTGGGATCCATGGCACAGCCTTCGTTTGCTTGGCAACACTAAGATTGTGTCCAGGTCCCAGAGACCAGTCCCAGGCCTACCGTCCAAACAAAACGTGGAAGAACAGAGATCCTTATAGATAAGAGCTCAAAAATATACATGAAGTAAAAGGAAAGGAAGCAGGATTATTGGGCAAAAAAAAGAACTACTACTCTGGGAAGCAGATGGAATTTCCCATTTCGATGTGGCTGGATAAGTACGTAACTTAACAGATCCTAGAGGTTACTACAGAGCTGACGTTGATGGCTTCTGGACTTGCCCTTCTGGTCTGTCCTCCACATTGCTGGCCAGTGAGTCATTCTAAAACACCATAACTCTCCTGCTTAAAAGCTGTCTATGACTTTCCACCATGCTCTGGATCTAGTCCAAGTTTAACCAGGTCCTTTATTGTCTGGTCCGTCCAGCTCCATCTATTGCTATGCTTCTCTATGCTCTCTCAGCCTGCTCAATAGTCTGCAGTTCCCCACCCTCTCACCTCTAGGTCTTGGAGCAAACTGTCCCCACTGCCTGGAGCACTTCTCCCGGTATTATGTTTGGCTTTCCCTTTTCTTCCAGGTTTAAGCTTGGATATCACTTCCTCCCACAAGTTAGGGCCTCTTATGCACTCCCATAGTACTCTGTGCTCATCTGGTCATAGCAATGATCACATTAATAATAGTCAGTCTCCTTCTTTAGACTTCGAGCAACCAGAGTGGCGCACCGGGTCTTGTTTGTTGCTGCAGTCCTGTCACCCAGCACAGGGCCTGGCCCTCAGGCTCTCACGCGGCTGTTGAATTGTTAAACTGTAGACCTATAGTAGGCTATCTGGCAAAATCACTGCCATGGTGTGTGTGTGGGGGGGGGGCATTCAGCTGAGAATATTTTTATAGATTGCTCAAAAGGTGAAGAGGTCTGATTAACTTTATCAGAAAAGGTCTAGAAATCTCTAGATCAATGATTCCCAATGTGTGGTTCTAAGATACTTAAGAGCCCACAAAAATTATAATGGAGCTATTTTATATATTTCAAAAATCATCATGGAAATGGCACATTTATCTAAGATAAAGGCAGAGAGACTAATAACAAGGGATAAAGTTGTTTGCTTTCGGTTAGAATATCAGCTCAGAGTAAAAATACTGGGTTTCACATGCTGATCAGCAGCTCAGATTGGCTGGTGATGCAACATAGGAATTTCTGAGATAAGACTGTTAGACCAGGTATCTGGTAATGTCTGATTTACCAAAAAAAAGATATCATAAATAAAAGGTATCCATGAAGTTTTGTGAAAAGATGGGGAATGTTGGGCCTAGATCATTCATTATGGTGATTACTACTGTAATTGCCTAGATTAGTATGTCTGTTAGACCAGGGACCTGAACCAAGAAGGACTTTAGGAGTCTGGGAGGTTTGAACCAGAGACTCAGGGGTCTTGAGAACTTGCCTAGGACCAAGACAAGCTTCTCAAGAAAATGCTTTCTGTGTGGTAGGAAGGCAGGCAACACCTGTCTCATGGAAACAAGTGAAGTTGGGCCCATCCAAGAAGGGCTCCACCATCACTTTAGGACAGGGGCCTGGA